TCCTCAATATCTATTTCATACTAAAAGGTAGAATAAATAGCATTTTCACACTTCAGCACATACAAGCTTAGGTATCCCAGGGAAATTCCACAAACTGGTCTTAATAGACTTTGCTTTAGAATTTAACATTTATCCAAAAACTGCATCCTGTATTTGCAGGATTTGAGTAACACCAAACAGCAGATTTAGTAACAGCTTTGTTAGCAAACGGTATCTCACGGTCAATGCTACAGTTTTAAAAGACCAAAGCATCACCTGCTCTCTAGCTAAGTTTTAGAAGGAAAAAAATAAATCTATGTCAACTGACTGCTACAAGCTCCATTATAAAACTGCAAAAAGCCATTCTATTTTTTTTTCCACCAGACAGATTAACTAAACCGGAAGCATTACATATTCTTAACTCTGTGTTAGTATTCCAAGTGTGTGATTAAAATAGGAACAAAACCCATTTGTTTTCCTCTTCAAGGAATTTAGTCTGCTTTATGGACCAATATCTTACTGATTTAGAATAACTACAGAGACATTTATTACTATTACTATATAATATTTTTCTTTTACTATTTCCTTGGGAGATGGAAGAAGGTATATGAACCCAGTTTAAACCAACAAATTTAATTTCTTCCAGTTCATAACTTATATCTCAAGTTGCACAGGAAAAAGAAACCCTCTTGTGAGAAAAGGTCACGACAAAGCAAGGATAAAAATATTTCCCTCTTCCAAAAATCGCTCCAGAAAACATGACATGATAATGAGGTTGCCAAAAAACCCCCCAGGATTGTAGGAGTGCACTGAAATCTGCATATGGGCAGCTATTGAGCGCATTCGTGTAATAAACATTTTGCCCATCAAACACCCGTGCAGCTCAGTTCCTTCAGCACCCAGGACCCCTTCCCCTACTCATCAGCGCTGCCGGCTGCTCCAACATACCTGAAGAATGAGGATTCAGAGCTTAATCTGCAGGACAAACCAAGGGCCACTGTAGAGTCTCATCACACTGGTTGGTTTTTTTTTTTTCATAATTATACTAATTAATTTTCTTAAGTAGATATTAGCCTACTTTTAAGCAAAATGGCTGACAAGAGAATATTTTAATAACTTGATGTGCTCCTGACCTAGAAATACAAACTACATATACATCTTCTTCAGATTATTATCTGTGATAAAAGTAGCACAATTAATCCAGAACAATAAAACACTACGCTTAAATTAATTCATAGAATCACAGACTGGCCTAGGCTGGAAGGGACCTTAGAGATCATTTAATCCAACCTCCCTGTCTTGGGCAGGGACGTCTCTCAACTAGATCAGGTAACACATGGGGACCTGAGTTTTGAAGTGGGATAATTATGTCCAACAAACCTCATTCCCTACTTGTCAGGAGAAAAGCATGATAAAAACTGAAAACAGATGACTGCTTGCCCAAGAGCCTGGGTTTGTTCTTTGTTTTGCTGTTGTTCCATTCCCCCATTAAAGTTCAAAGTGATGGTGTGGAATCAGTTGAGCAGTGGTTTGTTTTGGATAATTGAACCTTTTCAGCATGAGAAAGCAGCAAACAGCAAGGACCAACACCGAAACAAAACACCAGCACTTTACCAAATCCTTTGCAAGAATTAATTTCTCACTGCAGATGAACACGTTTTGAAATTTTAACTTCTTAAAAAGTATCTGGTCTATGACAGAAAGTCCTTACGCTTAAGTAAATTTTTTTTTTATTAACAAAAACACACTATCAGGAACCATTGCTAACGGATCATAAAGGAACACTACAGACCATGCTTTTCTCCTGACAAAGTTTGGCTGCCAGGTACCACGATCCAGCATAATCTGATGTCATGGGCAGCGCGTCTAAACAAGTGCAAGCCGTTCAGGCATCTGATTTTCTTTAGATGTTCCAAATGCTTAAAAAGTTAAGCCCCTGACTTATTTTCAGTACTTCTATAACCTCTACTTTTGTCAGGAATATAGGGTAGGAATAAAAAAAATAATAAGAAAATCACTGTTATGCTTATTTTTACACTTTTTTAAAGAGAACGAGCCTTGCTGTACATTTAGTTAGACGTCCAACAGCTGTGACCATAGAAACATCTGCATTCTTCCTCTAAAGCCTTTAGGCAGACATCATCTCATCGCCTTCCCCAGACCTCGATGGCTGTCCCGCCGCCTGCCAAAAGGATTAACTCGTTCCCATCCTCGCGGCTGAATCTTAAATCACATGATGCCGTACAGACGCTCAGCCCCACGGCCATCACCAGTCACGGGATGAATTCAGGTTGCCACCTTGTTGGAGGACTCGGCCGCTCTGCCCCGAAGAGCACACGCCTCCGAAGCGTCGCTGATAAAGGCTTTCCTGCAGGAACAACTGAGGCACCACCAGTAAGCAGCATGTTCTGTGCACAGCACTGGAGTGGTTTGAAGACAGGAGCTTCCAGTAAATTGTAGATAACACAAACCATTAGCTAAGTCTAATGAGTTAGATTTACTACCTTGCTTTGGGCTTAGCTCACCAGAGAGCTCCTTATGTTATTTCTAGCTATTATTCCAAAATGATTTTTAAATAGACGACAGCCCCTCGACAAAAGCAGAAAAAGCAGCAATCTTTGAGGCCAGCCACGTTAGCAAAACCACACAGTCCATTTTCAGCTACAGAATATACCATTTCCTCCTTTTATCATAGTTACGTGTTCTCCAAAGGTAAGTTTTAGGGCACTTCTAAACTGTTTAATGGCTCACTTTCTGAAAGGAGATGACCTCAGCGAGCTCCCAGTTTTAGCATACCAGTTCTCGAATGCACTGCCTCTTCCACCTTTGTTCTACTGGTCTAGAACTGGATTATAATAACTAGTTTGCAAGATGCACATGCTAATAGTCCCAAGAATCACTTTGGGTCCCAATTACAGCTGGCCATTACCTCTCAGCTGCTGCACAAGTCAAAACTTCCCAGATCTGCATCCTCTCTAAATCTGCTACAGGTCCTTGCAAACGCTCTGTCTTCTTTTGCTCCACTACCACACTAGTTTCCCTCCTCCACGCATTTCAGCTTCAGCCTACAAAGCGGAAAAAAAACCTGTTGGGAAACGTGTTATTTTCATTTCGTATGTCAGCATGGAAAAAGAAGAAAACCCAAAACTCTGACCATCTGTATCACCTGAAGCAGGAGGCCAACACGTCTCCACATCCACCAGTGTGATGCCCAGCTGTTTAGTCGAGCAATGATTAGACGCTTTTTAGAGGGATGGAATTAAAATACGCACGCATCATGTCAGAAAAATTAGAAGCAAGCCTGAACGTTGCCGAAAAAGAAAGATTCCTTCTTTAGAATCAGAGCGTAAGCCGCTTTCACTGCTAATGATTGAATTACAACCAACTTAAACGTTTATTGGAAGCATTGTACCAGCAGGGCGGGAAAATAAGCACCACGTACAACAGTCCAGAGTTGTTCTAAGCCAATCTATAGTGCTAGCTAGATTCCACCTCCAGAAACACTGTTAGTTCACCTGTCTGGCACTCCAGGAAACCAGGATTCTCACTCAGGACAACTGTCCTGAGTGAGCAAAACCCATGCAACCTTTATGCCATTAGTCGGCCATGCGAGATTTCTAGTACTGACATTTGGAGCTGTAACTTCCCACATAAACACAGAGATGCTACTAATCCAGTCTACTCCGCTTATTTACTACATACAGACATTTTATTTAATGCATTCAAATAACAGTGGAAGAAGAGAGGTTTGTTTTGGTTTATGTTAAAGATCAAAAGACACAGGAGGATGGATTAGACTAAAAAATTTTATTGAAACGTGTCCAAAATCCAGTCAGGCACAAAATTTATCCGTTCCACTAAGGCTTGACATTCAGTATGGCACAGAAAAATGCATCTCAACAAGCTGAAACATCAAACAACTAAATTAGCGAAGTTAAGGCACTTGAGATTTGTGTTAATCCAGCAAAACTGCATAACGTTCTACTTTGAATGAGATTCAATCTAAAGCATCCAAATTCTGTAAGCCCTTGAGACAGGGGTGAGGCAGAAGCAGGAGACAAAAGACTCATCGGATTTTCCTCTCACTAGAAACCTCCAGGGCCACCACAGCCTACAGAAGGAAGTTATTACTGAATCAGGCAGCAAAGATTTCCTGTGGTACCGCTGCTGAATTACACAACAGTTTGGGCTGAGGCACAGCGTCTTCCACCCAAGAATCCTTAAGGCAAAGTACATGTGTGAGATGACAGAACAAAAGGAGAGAGCAAAAAGCACATGCACTTTATTGAAAGGCTAACAAACCTTTCCCAGGGTAACAATATTTACCCTGGGATTAGATACCCCATATCCTCCCCAAGGATAAGAACTTGGAGAAAATAAATGGAGAATGTAAGAACTTACGTAGTGACCAAAAATCTGGTATCTGTCAGGTTTGTCAGGGTGCTGAGCAGTAACTTGAAAGCCAGTTGGCAAGCTTAATTCCCACTACAGGTAGCTAGTTACCTTCGTAGTTTTGCTTTGTGAGAGTATGAGTGTTGGTCAATATAAGAATTTTTTTTTTGCTCTGAGGCAATGTTATGACTTAATGCAGTTCCAGCATTTGGCAAAGAAATTTTTTAATGAATAACTGAATTAGTAACTCAGTTCCACCTGCTGAAACTCTCCCTGCATCTGCCAGACAACCTCTTTTATCGTACAGCAGTTCAGTACTCTTCTCAAAAATGAGATACAGCTCTAGGATATGCACGCTCCACACTGAAATTTGGAGCATGCTCCAAGGGTCAGACACAGACTGAAGGAAAAGATTTCCGGGTGCATGAGGATGTTTTCTCAAGCATGAAAAGGCAAGTCAAAGAAGATATTGTCACCTGCTATGCACAAACAGGAAATAAAGTGATAAATGTTTGTGAGGAAAAGAAACGTACGGAAAACAGGTTATCCAACAGGATTTAAGTTACCGTTTCTAGTTAGTCTGTGAAAATGTAGTTTTAAGCATTAAGTTCTGAAACTCACTAGAAGTAGTTGTTTAAGAAGATGTAAAGCTCATGAGAAAGAGATTGCATCTTAATACTCTGTGTCCTTCAGAGCAAATTGCTTGTTATATGTAAGGCACTACACGTCGTCTTTGGTTCAGTGTTTAACTATCTCATTCCGTGTAAAGAGAGGTAGCACGAACCATACACGTATTCAGCTCTTCCGTTCCAGTACGCGCAATTTCAGAGTCGCGATCTTTCCAACGTTACAGGTTCTGGAATCCTTTAACTCATTAGGAAACTGCGGGAACAAAATAACAGACATTAATCTTAAAAGAAACATGGGTGTACAACATTCCACTTAGCTTTCATATATGCTGAGAAAACGTGAGTGAGAAACTGGGCTTGATGCAATTGCAACGTAAGCAGCCTTGGAGAAGTTGCTTTAAGCACTTCTTTCAGTTACTCAAAACCTGAATCAACCACAACTTATCTACAACAAAACACATAAGATCGTTGCATAGACTTGAATAAAAGCTGAACAGTTATTCCACAGAGAAGAAGTTCAGGTCTCTTCCGGTCTTGAGAAAAGTCTTAATGAAATAAATTTATTATTTAAATATTTTTCAGTAAGAACTGCCTTCTCATAGAAAGGGTATAATATTTGCCTATGGGATTTGCCTATAGGATTAACCTTCCAGACAAATTAAACTGTTTTCAGAAGTTAAGATGGTAGAAGCTGGTCTCTCAACATGTATTTATTCCTTCAAAATGAACCACACAACGTTATACATATATATATATATATATATGATCCGTAGAGATAAGTGGTCAGTTCTAGACTCTTGACAGAAACTATCCCAAAATGTACACAACTTGAAAGCATCAACCATACTACTTGTTCTCAAAAAAAGGATTAAAAATCAAGATGTATGGATGTGGAGGAAGAGGGAAGTAGAGAAACGGAGAGACACTTGTTTCTAGGATAAACTGGCTGAGATAACACTATGGAAGTAGAACTATTTTACAGTAAGTAATGGCATGAAAAGGAGAGTACCACAACAGTCCAGGAAATATTCGGCCAGACCAAAAACCCGTGATATTTGAACACGGCTACTTCCAATGATTACACTGACCAATATTGCTACTCTTTGAGAATCAAGTGAAATGCTTTTAAAAGAGTATTTCCCACCAAATTGGATTTCAGAGAACAGGCCCTTTGGCTATTTCTCCATCCTGGTTTATATCAATATTACCAGACAAGGAAATACCAGTCAGCAGGAACAGATTCATTCATAAGCCTGTATAAAAACCTTCCAGCGTCACTCTCAACCTTTAAGTCCTCATTCGCGTTTAGCCGCTTCTTTCAAAGAAGCCCCTGGTGTTGTGGCTGTATTGCCACGCACAGGAAAAGGGTGACTGAAGCAGCCAAAAGAGGTACCTGTACGGGTAGCCGTGGTATTTGAATCTGAAGACGGACAGCAACCAGCTGAAGAACAACACCACCAGGCCAATCCCAGCGATGCACATAACTGCAAGAGAGGCAGAATAAGATCCTGGTGACAGCTGTCCCCCAAAACACTGCGGTGACCAGGGGTTTTAAAATCATTCTGTAATATTTAGAGGTTGATCAGATGAGACCTTAATCGAAGTCACTGAAAACAATTAAAACAACATCAATTCTCTTTCAAATTTCTACTGGAAATCATTTTTATGCCATTGCTTTAAGAGGAAGTAAGTCCTTTCCCTCCCTTACTAGCAAAAGGCTGCAAATCGTCTTTAGGTCTCCCAAAAGGGTTGTGAGTTTCTCTTGCAGCTTGCTAAGCAACTCCGAATGCTGCCAAAAACTCAAACGATTCGCTTCTGCTTAAAGGTGGGAAGCGTACGAAAACACACACAGTGCAAAAGCATTTCTGTTAAACAGCGCATCCAAAATCTTTACTTACTATGCCTTCTCTTAGAAAGAAAAGTAGTTGTACTTACTTTTCCTTTTCCCCACATCCATGTCAGAAGTAGCAGCTTCGTGGAGGAGTACCATTCCTAAAGTCACACCACCATCTATGAACGGTATTTAAGGCTAAATCAACAATATTGACTCAATAAGCCACTTGTTCCTGACCTCGTCAGCTCAGCTCCCACACCGTACCCACGGCTGAGGGACTGGGTCCATAATGTGATGGATAATCATCCACAAGCATTTCTAGCTTAAATTTGACTGTATGCATCAGAAGGAAAGTAACAACTACAAAAACATCAGAAGTCCTCCTTCAAATGGAAGTTTTGAAAAAAAAAAAATCTTTGATAGTGAATACAAAGCAAAAGAGTAAAGTTCTTTTAACAGCAGCATATTTAAACATCAGTTGCTTACTTTATATTTATTTTAGTACAAAAAACCTCAACGCATCACTTGCTGAAATTGGGATTTTTAACAGTCAAAACAAGAAAAGGGAGACGTTAGCAGAAGTCACTGCTATTGCAACAGAGGAGACCTGATAATTATTGTCAAGCACTGAAGACAACAGGTACTCTTAATGAACTTTTGTCATGATGTGCCTGTAGTAAGCCTGCTATTCGGCATACCTGTGTACTATAAAATGTAAACAATTTGGGACTGCCACACCACCAGAAAAAAATATTAAATAAAATACAAAATCCTGAATAAAAAAAAAAAAACCAAAAGAACGCACAGGCTGACATAGGTGACAAGACAAGGAAGAAAAGCTTGAGTCGGAGATGACTAAAGTTACAGATGATGGATCGAAGACATGCATGTGGGAACAGACCAGAAGAACGTCGAACTGAGTATTCTGATGACCCCAAAGAAACATTTTAGTACGAATGAAAAAAGTAAAAGCTCTCAATCTGCAAGCTTCCGCTTACCTTTCCTGATGGCAAAATACTGGCATGGAAAAATCCTCAATCATTAGCCTGAATGAGCAGTAAGATTAACGGTCAAGAAGGCAAGGAAAGAAACAAAGGAAGATCAGCAACAGAGGAAAACACCAGAGCAACAACAAAGTGAGACTGAAGAGAGACAGGCACAGAGGAACAGGGGCTGTCCTGACAAATCTTACGATTCCACAAAGACCCACATCTTTAACGCTGAAGAAAGAAGATGGCGAGAAAGCAGCAAACAGTTTTCCACTTTCAGGATCACCGGCACAGGAAAAGCGTAGTTGTCAACACTGAAAGGTTCTACAAGCTCCTGCATCAGTACTGGGTGACAGTGATGAGCCTTGGCAAAGTACTCCCACAGCAAAGGCAGCGGCGTAAGCGAACAGAAAAATCGTCCCCAAGCACATGCTTCGCAGCAGGAAGGATACTGAACAGCAGAACAATGTGTGTTTCTGCCACAAATTGGGCTTGGCTGCTCCCATGGATATAGTTCTGTAAGAGACAAAGAGTAATTGAATTTAGAAAAGACTGGAGTCAACATGATTAACCCCAGCTCCAAGAGCCTGGAAGCGGGTTTTGAGCTGTCTCTTTCAGGAGACAGAAGAGAAGTTGGAGCACAAAGGATTTCATCTGCTGAATGGTTTTGAGGGGCAGCTGCGACAGTATCAAAAATTCTTCTTCTATTAACACGCACAATCGGCTCAAAGTACGGTTCAGATCCAGATTCCCTCTTCAGCAGCATAAAATATCAGAATTATGCCTTCCTGCACCCACTGTGATCCAGGTCTGACCCATTCCCCGACTTCCATTTCTTTGGTTCCGTGCACGGCTCCTCAGCTCGGGGACAGGGCCTTGAATCTATGCCTGATCCCTACTCACTTGGCTCCAGACCCAAGCGTTCGAAAACTTTTTTGTGGCATACCAGGAAAAGGAACTTCACTACCGATACCACTGAAGCTTTATTCTTCAGTCTCAAAAACACTTAGGAATGATGTAAATAGAAGAATCAAAAAGAAGTGCTTTCAAGAACGCATTTGAAGCATGAGAACTTCCACTGAGTAAGCTGGCTCAGTTTAATTGACATTAACAATTTGCTAACCAACTGGGTTAACACAAAATTTGAAATTTGTGAGAGAATGCC